GCATTGAATATTTTTCCTCCGGGAACTTACCTCATCGGTTTCCATCTCGTGATTGGTGTATTTGTGTACTATTACTTCCAAAACACTGAGTTGAAACAGTCCACACATGCGCCGGTGATCCTGCGGGCAGCGGTATGTCCATCATGTATGTCATGGCTCTGACGTTCGCCACAGAACTCGTCGAAGCAGACAAGGTGCGCCTACAGAAACATTGTGAACAGAATAGTAACCTTGACGTGAGAAAAAAGGTCATTTATACTAACTGAGATACTTTAGACGTTCTTATTGGTCAAAATACCAGAGGTAGCAACGCGGCTTCTGATCGTCACTAAAGATACCATACTCTAGCTCGTTCTGATTGGTCGACAAACTCTTGATTTATTTGCCGGACACCCGAAACGTGAAATGAAGGCAGTTTATCATTAAAACGGAGCACCACTAATTTTAATTAGTAAACTTTCAACAAACATTTAAATAACAAGCTTCCAGGTTAAAGACTTTTAAGTCTTTAAAATGCTTCCAAATTTTTGATTAAGCATCTAACACACTTTATGTGTCATTTACAGGAAACTGGTTGAACGGCATTCGCCATCATCGTTTTTATTGCAAGAATATCTAGCGGGGGTTTGTTGATAGCTATACAAGAGTTGTACCCAGAAAACGGGTAAGATTAGTGAAGAATTCCTGTTCTTAGTGAACAGTCTTTTATTTTCTGGACTGGAAACATGTAGCTTGTGACTACGTACCGCATGTGTTTTCTATGGTTTCTGCTCTTCTAGCGCTTGCTGGCTTGCTGATGATTTTATTCCTCCGACTTCCGTCTTGTTCCTCAAGAAGACGTCCTCGGTACACACATGCAAATGAAAGCTTTTCCAACAATTTCTAATTGGGAATATATATTTTCAGTTAAATTGCGTGATAAGGAAGAAATGAAGTTGGCAAGGAAACCTTCTTTAGTCTATGCTCCTGAGCGTTCCCTATCCACTCATCCCGAATTAAGAGAAAAAATAGTAACTGAATTTGCTCCCCAAAACAATTTACTTTGCCTCTCCCTTCTTCATTCTATCGGTTGCTTGAGGTAGACATAGTGTAAAGGACTTCCCTTTAGTTACTGATTTCAATTACACCGTTGCATTCCTTGTGCCTTATAGAAACTTGCGAAGTGGATTGGAGTGGAGTGGACGTGACTTTATTATTCAAAAAGCCGAGTAACACTTCACAGTTATAAAGTTGTGGCCCTCAACTTCAAGTTTTTTGGTTTTATCAATGGAGTTCTCATTTAGCCTAAAGCAAAAAGGAACAAATCCCTTGTAGCTTTTAGGGACATTTAACCTTTTGGTGACGGCCGGCGAGTAGCGAAAAACCGCATTTTTCACCAATTCCTCTTCTTTAGACTATTCTTCGGTTAATTAGCATATGAATAGCTAAAAACGAGTTTTGCAAGAAAAAAGGCATACTTTCCGACTAATCTGACGTGATTAAACAGCTTTTTTTGTTTTTTAAGCACGCGTGAATCTATTTCGATCTTTCTCTCTTGCTCTCTTTTTTTTGCTTGTTTTCCTTCTATATTAGTGGTTTTGTTGCCCACTTTATCGTCTTTAATCTTTGCATGGAATTGTGGCTGGCTATTACTTTTTAGGAAAGGGACAAATTTAATTTTCTAAGAGTAATATGTAAACAGCGAAATTGGCAGTGGATTTTTTCCCAAAATGTTACCTTTTTCGTGAGTGTCTCTGTCAGGATTAGTCAGAACATCCAAAACGAGGTATGGCTGGAAAGATCTATCTTTGCCGATATTTTTGCTTACCAATTTATTTATAATAAACTTAACCGAAAGCTAAATGGGTCCAGGAGAAAAATGTATACATCGTTCCATATGGGATCGTACACGACCCTAGCCGCCCGAAAAGGGTTAATCATCCGCTAGTTATTTTATTTATTTTATTTTATTATTTTGCCACACACAATGAATTACAAGCAGAATAAAAACGATAATAAATAGGTTAACTAACATTAAATTTAAAATTTGTGCATTACTTGGGAGGAGTGACTGTGGCGGGGAAATCTCCGAGAAGCCGAGCTTATGAGGAATAGAGATTTCCCCCCACGGGCAATTTAAATACTAGGCGGCATTTTAAGAAATAAAGAAAAAAGTCGTTTATTTAAGTATATAAGTGTGTTTAGAGGAAAATATAGATATGAGGTGTTAAGGTATTTAGGTTGCATTCTGTCTGACCCTTAAAAATGGTTTGATCACACGCTTGAATATACTAAAAGACGGGGCATTTTTGATGTCGTTTGGTAATGAATTCCATATTCTAGGACCTTGAAACAGGATCGAAAATTTTTTTAATATTTGTTCTACAGGTGTGAGGTCGGTTAAATAAAACACTGGCAATAAAATTCAACCTGAGTTGCCTTTTTTTATAGATTGTTCACTTAGGGAAGAGTCTCTCGTTCAATCAGAGACAAGTGCTGCTTCATGCGACGTTGTCGTGGCTAGTCCCCGAAAGATGAGCCAGCCTTGACTCTTAAAATATCAGGAATCACTGAAAAATCCTATCCAGCTACCAAAAGCACTGTACCAGTGACTTGGAAGGCAACCTATAACAACTCAAACCAAAGGCACATTTATAGTATTATTTATTCAGTTTTCCTAAGGAAAGTGAAAACATTAGAGGACTCAGAAAATTGTAAAAGCTAACCAAAGAAGTGCAAAAAAAATAAACTGAGTTTGAATTTAGCGCATGCATGGTGTTGCCTTTTTGGGGGTGTTGTCTCGCTTTGAAAGAGTTCATTAACTATTAGTCAAGATCAAATTATGACTATCTTAGAGAGCTTACATTAGGTGACAATTACGTTAACTAGCCGCAGGAAACAATAAAATAAAACAATAATAAAGAAAATGGTAAATTGATGTTATCCTGCCAACCGTAACTGCATGAATTGCAAAGTGATGGTTTCTCAACAGCTCTGTAGGGAAATTAAACACACAACGTGACTGACAGGTGCTAACATCAGATTAGAGATTTTATACTATGAAAACGTGAACTGCATTTAATAATTACTCTTTCAGAACGTCCACTAACGTCCACCAGACCTTGACTTCAAATTGAGACAAATCCATTTCTGAAACTATAACTGCATCTTCTAGAATAAACTCCTGGAATAATGATTAATCTCAAGAGAGGGACGTGTAAAACGCGACTGATACTCAAGATGTTGATTTATAATAGGCCATTTGCACGACGCCGTCATTTTACTGCTACTACCAGAATCCTTTTCGATTTTCCTTTCATATCAAAATTTCGTAATCACAGCGATTAGGTTTGAATGACAAAAGCCCTAATTTGCACAAGAAAGCGAACCCTAAGGATTCTGATAGTAGTAAAAATGACGTCCTCGTACAAATAGCCTATTGATAATAAAAAAAAACCAAGTCACAAATAACACAAATCTTAATCGCAATCTCTTTTTAAAAGCTTAAGTAACTAGTAATAGGCTGGGAAATTAGAAAAGGGTGTCTTTTACCATCTCATCTGTATGAGAAAACAGTTAGATTAAAGTAAAGTTAACCAACCTTTGACTCCAAATTCAAGCACCATGTCTTTCATGAGACCACACAAAAGACAAAATAGTCTATAAATAAAAATTGAAAATAATAATTTAAAAAAACACAAAACCGTTCTCGTTTCGACTTTATTCAAAAGATAACCTACCAGTGTGAGCCAGTCGGTTTTCATAGTTTACTTGAAGAAACTGATTTATTGCTGAGTTATGACTGTTTGATTAATATATGAATTACAATAAAAATTATGTTGAAAACTTTTTAAAAAAATATTTACAACTATGAGGAACATGTAAACGTTGGAATTTCTGTTTATTAATCTCCACCGCCCCCTCAAACGTTTGTCCCTTTTAAAATCAGTCAGTTTCCTATGTCTTCAGCCTCATGCAGCTGTCATTTCTCGGACGTTCAGCTGACAGTTTTATAACGAGCACCATGCAGATGTCTGTTGAATGTTAACTTTGTTATAAGCGAGACCAGCCTTAATTGAGAAGGGCCGCGGTAAACTCGATTTCGTCGAGTGACGAACGTTAACAGGAAGCGGACGTTAGATTAACGCTAGTATAATTGACCATCCTCTCACTCCCAGTTCACAAACTGTGTCTTTCATATGATAATAGGCGAGACATAAATAGTCCAAACAAGCCGAAACTCGCGTCACTTCCACTTAACTCAAACGACCAGCCTTCCTGCAAGGTCAGTTAAGTCACGTGGCACTCAAACAGAGGGCTACATTGGTGAGTCATATTCTTAAATTTTAACTGATTTTTTGAACTTGACTTTAAGAGTTTCAAGTTGAAGCACTTTGACAAAGTTACTTTAAAACCGAGGTTTGTAAAACCACGCTAACACAGCATTGTTTAACGTATTTTAGTATTTAAACGGTAGATATAGGCATATTTTTATCCCCTAAAAATTTTTAATGTGTTCGGATTTCCTAGCTGAAAGTCTTATGATCCGAAAATTATAGGGATCAAAACTTACCTCTTCGAAAATTTTAGCCATAAAAAGGCTCCCGAAAATTCTAGGTGAGCTTTCAAAGGGTAAAAATCCGTTAAAAATGGGCAATTATACCATTTTTTGGATCTTCAAAAATCCTAGGAGAGATAGGAAAGCAATAAATTTTACAACAATTGTTCCGACAATTCTAGATCTCAAATCATCTTCTGAACAGATATTTTCTAAAAATTGATGTTGGGTGCCCCCGAGACCAACCTTAATTGAGAAGGGCCGCGGTAAACTCGATTTCAAGGAGCTTACGACAAACACTTTTTTGAGTGACGAACGTTAACAGGAAGTGGAAGTTAGATTAATGCTAGCCTAGTATGATTGACCAACCTCTCACTCCAAGTTCAGAAACTCTTTCATATGATAATAGGCGAGACATAAATAGTCTAAAAAAAGCCGAAACTCGCGTCACCTCCACTTAATAGACCAGCCTTTCAAGGTCAGTTCAGCCACGTTGCACTCAAACAGAGGGCTACATTGGTGAGTCAGATTCTTAAATTTTAACTCATTTTTGAACTTGACTTTAACAGTTTATTTGAATCACTTTCAATTGACAATGTTACTTTAAAAACGAGGTTTGTAGTGCGGAACCTCCAGGCAGGCAGATATAATCCAACCGCCCTTCACTGACACCGAGCCAAGAATTTATTTTAATTTGTCTCTGATATTTGGAAAACTTAAAAATAAGTTTTATCATTCTTGAACCCTTTTTTTGAAATAGTTGCTAGAACGAGCCATTAAGATCTTTTAAAACAGGTTTTGACAAACATTCTTCAACTACTAAAAAAACTTCGGATGGCTGTTTTAAGAAATCCGAATCACATGTGTTGATGAAAAGACATAAACCCACACAAAGTCTTACGTAATTATAATAAGCCGTAGTGTTTCAGTGTCAGTTACACGCTCAATTGAGGGATATTTACTAGCAAATACTTCAGCTCCACAACGTAAATATCAGCGACCCAATCAAGTACGAAAAAATTTTCTAGGTGGCTAGGTTTTCTTAGTTATAACATCCGAGGACGTCACCGTTGTGCATTCCGGCGAAACTCAATCATCAAACGTTGTGGCAACTTTCAATTCTCTATCAATTATGTCCTAAAGATGCTATTTGTTCTTATATCATCTGGATATTTCGCACTATTCGACTTGCGACTGGTGTGACTATGGTTTGTTATTAAACAGCTCTCGGTACGCGCTTGGTATTTATCACTCACTCTTTTTACCGATGTCACAAAAATAATTTCAATTTTAATACTTTTTGGCATTAAAACAAAAACACTTCTTCATAGGTCGATTTATCAAACTTCATTTAGTGAAATGTCTAGTTTTATAAAAACCTAATGCAAATTGACCCGAAAATATGACACCTCAAAATGCTTTCTGCCTACCATCCAGGATTCTTTGTTAAATTAATTCAGTCCGCATTTTCTGGGCATTTTTGAGGTCGATTTTTGCATTGAATACTTTGGCGGCTAAATATGTTCAGCCTGTATAGAAAGTCCTATATATTACAATGGATCATTACGCTTGCTCAACTTCCGCCAGAACATGATGAACTTCCTATTCATATCTATCTGTCCTCTGTTTGGTTTTGGTTTAACACCATCTATCGAAGCTCCTCAGTTTACACAGTCAGCTACCCCTTGGGGCACTCGTATGTAGTGAAAGAAAATTCATTTATATGTTAATATTTTACAGTTGAATTCAGCGATGGAGAACCAACAAAAATCCAAGTTAAACATCAAACAGCGCTTTTCCTGTGGCCTCGGGAACGTTCTCAACGAAATTTTCCGCCAAATGTACATTTCTTTTTCCATCATATTTTTGATGCGAGTGATTGGTTTATCGGCATCCCAAGCCGGATTGGCTATGCTTATTGGACAAATAACTGACGCCTTTACCTCTCCAATAACTGGTTTCTTGGGCGACCGTGTGCAAATTCCATTTATTTCCAAAAAGCTGGGTCGAAGGAAGTCGTGGCACTTAGTGGGAACAGTTATGATGGCCGGTGGACTTCCTCTTCTGTTCAATCGGTGTTTAGTATGCAACGATTATCAGGGTGTCAGTTGGTTGCAACCTTTTTACTATTATTGCATCATGGTTATTATCAATGCGGCATGCAACATTCTGGAGATCAATCATCTTTCAATCACCTTCACTGCAGCTGGGACAGTGCAAGAAGGCGCAGCGTTAACTGCTATAAGGTTAACAGCAATAACACTATTTTCTTTTGTTCACAATTTCTTGATTCTGATTTTTTGGATTCTGTGCTCTGCGTACTGATAATCAATGCAGCTGAAACTGAATGGTGCACGTTTTTGTCTCTCTTTTTTTTATTGTTCAAACCTTTTTTTTATTTTTTGCTTTGAATCTTAAATGGCACCTGATCTGACAGGCTACAATAACGTCAGTGAGTAAGTTCGGTTCAAGATATTTAAACACAGACGTGGTATGTAGGAATAAAGATACCCTCATCCCGAATTTATGCCGTAAGAGTCGATCCCTTTATTTTCTTACTCTCTTTTTTTCTGATATAGGACAGTCCTTAGTTTCGTTAGTGGAATATACGTTTATGTGGTTGCCTGGGGACTGCTTGGTCAGGATGGCGGAGACAATCTGGGGCGGGAACGTGTAACACAGTTTGCGGTAGGTACATGAATAAAGTGACGATATGGAAATTGCGTTAATGAACAAAGCAATCTAATTGATTGGATTAATGATGATGATGAACAGATTGAATTCATAATACCGTATTGCTCCGGCACCCAGCCAAACGCACGTTTTTTATGGTGCCTGCATTCTTTTTGATTAGCGAAGCGGGTGTAATTCATTTTTTAAAAAACCTAAAAACTTTTTCCGAGAGTATTCTTAGGTATGTATCAGCAATAAAAGTTTGAATTGAAATAACACTATATTTAAGTTTAAAAAACTCGTATTAAAATTATTTTCAAATGTTTACATTTCTTTCCCTTTCGACGCAGCATCTTGTATGGATTGTCACTGGTACAGGAATAGTCTTTACAGTCATTTTCTATATTGGAACAAAGGAACCAGCCGTACGCCCTCTAAGAAAGATCAGCACACTCATGGATCCAGTGGTATGAAGCAACATAAGATATCTATTGCGCTGTCCTCGACGTCTAGCCATCTTTCTCAGCCCCTGGCCATGGACGATTCGCAGCCACGATTTTTATCGCAAGGAAGCGTAGTTGTAACCTTGTTGCGATATTGTTTCGGATGATCACAACATTGTTTCATTGCAACGCTCGCTGTTTTGCGCTGAAAATCGCTGTTGCGAATCCTTCCTGTTATAACATCACCTTTAATCCGGTATTAGATGGACTTTTCCTGCAAATTATGACGATGATGTTCTTGCAAGGTTTGTCTGATATGCATGTATCAACACAAGAGAGAATAATCTCTCTTAATTCACATTGATTTTCATGAGAGCTTAAGCCATGGTTCGCCGTTTTCGTCCACCGATTGCACCACCTCGACCGCTCAGTTGTATCTCATTTTAGTAGACTCCAACTAGTGGTTTATTATCAATGCTGCGTTCTGATTGGTTGAGCCACTTCTAGACTATATGTTATGGCCCACTAGTAGTGACAAGCGCCGGCTTTGAAAACCAAAACAATAGCGGCTGAATTGTGTTTTGCTAGCTAAAGTTGTTTTGTCTCGATATTTTTGACCAACCAGTTGGATTTTACTAAAACAATTATTCCTCTGGCCCTCATGGCCTCTGAGTCAATAGCCCATTCGAGGTCGAGGAATAATTGTTAAATACCTAGTGCTGTTGCAATTTGTAGTAATCATCGCACTTTATATTACCTGTAACTAAGTCCGATCACATGTCACAATTCGCCACAAAGCCGAGTCGCACTTAGTAATTAAAAAATGTTCACTTTGACACATCTCCCCAGGATGCCCATCTCTCCTTGTTAGAAAATATCACCGTACATAAAAGACTTAGAGTTTGATATATTACATCAAATACCTACTCTTGCATATTGGCAAGTGTAAATATCTAAGTTTTTGTCACGTCGACCATGAATTGTTTCCAGAAGAGTTTCACAGTGATGGCAATTTTGTGACATGAATAAATCGTTTTTATCTTTGGCTAGAACGGTGAAGGATTATTTCAGGCTAGCCAGTCTGTTTATTCAATGGTCTTCGAACAAGTTGATGGTGAGTTGAATGAAATGGATTACTCTACCTTTAGTTCCAATCTTTCTGCTTTACTTTCACCACGCAGTGTACGTTGAGACATGAGCAACGTTAATATTAGTATATTGAGGTCTAATTTGTCGTTAAAAGGAGACTTTGTCAATGTAACGATACCTAAGATGGAGCTCAAACTCGTACATCAGCAGGGCCAATTTATTAAAACTTTTACAAGGTATAATGTAATTTACAAGTGTTGCTATTGTTTTCATACTATCAAACAATAGCTACCCTTGTAAATTACTTTAATTGCTTACAATATGATCATTGTTACGCGTCACAAGTAACAACCGAGTAAGGGTCTGGGCTCTTTAGTTTCTTACGTGCAGATGCTGTGAAAGCGGCGAAAACGCTCTTCCCATAAACCTGCCTTCTCGATCAATTCCTTGCGACAAGAAGTAGACGATGAAGTCAACCAAGAAAGAATAGCACCCATTATGGCCTCCTGATCTGGAGGGATCCTGGAAAGAAAAAGATGTCCAAAAAAATATTTCGTTAACATCACGGGCCAACATCGGGTAATATTGGAAGGTAATATCAAGGAAAGAGAGGGGATGTCTTTTTACCTCTTTCAGTTAATAGGCACTCAGTAGTTGAACACGATCTGTTTGTTGAAAAGCTCAATACCAGTAATAAGACGAAAGTTACTGCAGTTCCTTTTAATAAGGTATAGAAAAAATTGAATTTTTTAAAAATATTTCTTTTAAGATGCCAAGAGGAAAACTTCGACCATAGTCCACTCCCTTGTTGACATTTTTATGTCTTCGGTGGAAAACACGGAAGTTGTCGATAATAAAGCAACAACTGCTACACCAGCGTCTAAAAAGATAAGTGTGGTACAACGATTTGTGGAAGCTCTCTTTTCTAACGGCGATGGAAACAGTCATGAAGATTCAGAAGACAAACTTCAAATTTCTGAAGTCACATCAGGAGCGTCAAGTAATCAAGAAAAACCCGGAAGCGGTATGTAATGGTATTTGCGTTACTGTTTTTACATTATCTATGGGGGCGGGGGGGATAGTGTTTCTGGCTTTAAATGTAAATATTTATGATGTTTGATGGATGCATCATCAACATTAGTTGAATTAACCTTAATAAACGTCATTTCAAAAGGAAACCTCGGTTTAGTGGTGATTAAAACCGTGTCAGCGGCCGCACTATAATATTCTATTTAACTATCATAAAGTACAACTCAAGTAATCCTAGTGAGATTTAGAAAACATTGAAGCAAAATTTACAAGGGATGAGAATCCTCAGGCGTTATGGCAGTTCAAGCGAAATGACGCCATTGTACGAATGTCATTTCTCCTGTAGATCTGATAACCCACGTAGCAAGACTGGACCAGGATCGCAAAAAGAGTCTCGTCTTTCGCTTAGTAGATGCGCTTCTTAATAAAGAGAGTCAAAGACAACCAGAAGCGACTAGCATTGTGGCCGAAGAAGGGCAAGTCGATCTTGAAAAGGAAAGTAACAAGCATTTTTTTTTGAAGACGCGACAGATTGTACTGTATGGTAAGCGTTAATTTCTTGAGTTGAACACCCGCTTTTTTCAAGTACCCACGTGACAGTTCCAGAGTACAAAAGCAAGACCCTATTCTTAGGCTTCAAAGTGGTTACAACGACCTGTCCGCACAAGTTTTCTGTCACTTCCGTGGCAATCCACTGCTATGGATACCCGCATTTCTCCCGACTACGCTAACATTTAAAATGACGTCTGACAGGGCAAATTGGAGTAAATATATGCACATTATAACACAATTTTATATCGTACCCAGGAACGAGTATCCAGACACCAAGAGTGATTACATAGCATAAGGTGACGTGCATAAAGTGGCAGTTGTTATGAAAGGTTGAGGGCTTTAAAATCAGTTCCCATCCACAGCCTCATCACCGACTGCATCTCTTAGAGTTTTGTAAATCGCAATCTTGCACCTGAAAGAGTATCGCGGCGTATTTTATTTCATTTTATTTTTTAGTGTTCCCAGTGAGTTAATCTTTGCTCATATTACTTACAGGAACGGAACGAAAAATACAGAAATAATGGAGGGAAATGAAGATCATAATATGAAAACAAGAGAAGATGATTTCAATGGTGCTGACAGAGGATATAGCCGGCGTCGGAGAAGAGGCATGTCTTTGGCTCCAGAGGAAGCCTGCAAGCTTGGAATACACAACCTTGGTTACCAAAATGAAACCTGTGGGCTGGAGATGAGAACAATAAACGAAGAAGAGGCCATTGAGCCTGTCGGTGAATGCGATGCAATTATCCATGGTTTCGAAAAACAAATGTCACCTTTAAGAGAAACAACATCGCGCAAAAAAGTGAGTTTCTCTGTTCCGGAAAGGAAGGAAAGCCGCAAATCTGGAATTTATTCTGAGACTCTTGACTCAGAGATGACAGAATTTTCAGACAAAGAGACGCAAAGAAAACTGAGCTTATCTGAGCTGGAAGAGAACGGATCTGAGAAAAAAGAGACGGGAGATGAATCCAATGATAAATCGTGTAAATCTGCGATTACTGGAGGATCTGAAAAGAAGAAACCAAAGACGACGAGGGATTGGTTGAAGACTCCTGGTGTTTACAAGGTTGGCATCTCTTAATGTGATCTATGGCATTTTTGTTTTTTAATTTCTCTTTAAGTCTTATCGGTATATCCCCGTATGAAATGACTTGCCTTTAAAGCAGCTGCAAGATTGACGTGTGGGGATCACATCATTTGTAAATTTACCGAGTCAATTATACCGAAAGGCTAACCTTTGCCAACACCTTAAGGTACCAAAAGTGTGCCGTTTAACAATATTTGGTATCACTAAGTGTCTTGTCAGTTTAGAGCCTTACGCAGTTCACACAAACACTGAGGTAAACAACAAATTACATTTTTCTGTCAAAAATGCAAAGACATTACATTAATTAAAGCGCTGCGCTGGAATTTCTTAACTCTGGACTACAAAAAGGCTGTAAGGTATTAGCCCTGTTTAAAACAAAATCGTGCTAAAAAATAAAGTCATTGACAAATTTACCGAGTTCATTTCATTAATTAGGTTGCCGTTATCGTCACGTGTTCTCGCCTTGTGCAGGATGCGGTTTATGCATATTTGCCGTTTTATTTGACAGAAAGACTGGGCTTTGGGCAGGTAAGACGAATAATTTTGCACCCTTTGTTTAATGTGTTAAAAAGATGATCTTCCATAAATGGCTCTACCGTTCGCTATTATACACCCCAGCCTTAAAATCTAAAGTGATATAGAGAGGATGTGCGTTCTCCACCACAGTTATGGAAAACCGTCCCATAATCGTATGACAAAATTGCAGACGTTTCTGCATTTAAATCAAAACTTAAAACGTTTTTATTTAGGAAAATTTTTATTAGCCTTTATTCTTAACACTATTTTTCGAAGTACTGATCTTAATAAGTGTTTTATATACAAAACTGTCTGTTATATCGCTGTCAGCTAGGACTAAAGATCTTTTTAATTATTCGATTCTTATTCATGTAAGGCCCATTGAAGTCCGAAATGCGCTTAAAGACAACGGTACCTCTAATGATAGAAACATTTCCATGCGATAGCATCCACACCGCTCTGATATATAAAGGAGTTATTAATTTTCTCTTCATTTCATTTTACTTTGAGCTTTTTGTCGATTCTTTTGCAGCAATCCATTGCCTACTTTCCCCTTGTTCTTCTTGTTAGCGGAGCAATGGGCAGCACTATTTCAAATAAACTCAACTCCAAACTGGGAAACATGGTAAGCGGCTTCTCCCTCATTTAATTTTTTCTATACATGTAACAAGTCGAATAATTCAACTAATAATAAATTTAAAATAAGGGATAACAAAATATCTGCAACTTGCACTGCTAAGCGAGGAGAACTCCTTGCCTGACTTTGATACCTTATGTATTTCATATCTTTCCTCAGGGAACTTACCTCATTGGTTCACTTCTCGTGATTGGTGCATCTGTATACTATTATTTCCAAAGCACTGACTTGAAACTGTCCACATATGCGCCCGTAATCCTAACAGGCAGCGGCATGTCCATCATGTACGTCATGGCCCTGACGTTCGCCGCAGAACTCGTCAAAGCAGACAAGGTGCGCCTACGCAAACATTGTATGAAAAGAGAAAAAACACCGTAATTTAAGACAAAGCTATTTCATTTTTCAAAATTTAACCTAAATACTTAGGTCAAAATAATTGAGATACCACCCGCCTTCTGACTGTTTAAAAGACTGAGATACTAAAGAAATTCTGATGGGTCAAAATAACTGGAAAACCAACGCGCTTTCTAAGTGGTCGAAATAACTGACAGACGACACGCGTTCTTATTATTGGTCAAAATAACTTAAATATCACATGCCTTAATTCACTGGTCAAAATGACTGAGACACTACAGATGTTCCAACGTGGTTAACAAACTGATGAAAATACTTAGCTCGTTCTGATTGGATTAAAAACAATTTTATAATATAAGAGCCTTGTAGCTAAAATCAAACTGTATAAAACCTTTAATTTTTTTTAGTCCTTCTAGATGTAGTGTCCCTTTTGAGATAAAACGTCAAGACGTAAAGGAAAAAGCTAATTAAATTTCTGGTTAACCGGAATACGCATGAAAGACCGTAAAAGTGGACACGTCTTCACTTTAACTTAGACTTTATATCAGAGTGCCACAATTAACTGATAAAGAGTCCTCTATGATTGAACTATCAGATCAAGAGATCAGGCGCGGCTATTTATAAACACAGCCGTCTCCTAAACTTTCAACATATAAAGCTACCAGCAGGTTAAACGTATATGCGTTTTTTTTAAAAGTATCTGAAACAGTTGTGCTGTCTTTTACAGGAAACTAGTGGTTCGGCATTCGCCATCATTATTTTTCTAGGGAGAATATCCAGCGGTGGTTTGCTGATGGCTATACAAGAGTTTTATCCAGAAAACGGGTGAGATTATTAGTGGATCTCCATCCTTAATTTGGAAAATCCATATTTTTGCGGTCGGGCGAAAAACTTAATTTAATTAACTGCCGATTTCTAGGAACGTTTGTTCTCGGCTGGATCTTTACTGTTTTCTCTGTTTTGATGCAGGGAAAGGCTGCAGATTTCCATGGTTACGGGTGGCTAGAATATACATGATTTGGGTGATTAAAATGTCCCGCTACCTTGATGCGTCTTTGTCATTTCTGAGGAATATTCTAAAAGCTGTCCCTTTTTATTCCTAGTTCGTCAAGCCAAACGCGCGCAAGAAAAAATGACTGGAGGGCGATTTTTAGTTATTTATAATTATTTTATTTTATAGCTCTACGTCCAATTTGAGTGAAAGCGACTACGTGCAGCATGTATTTTCTGTAGTTCCCGCTCTATTGGCGCTTGCTGGCTCGCTGATGGTTTTATTCTTCCGTCCACCGTCATGTCGTACAAAAAGAGGTTGGTACGGTTTCAAAGCTTCCCATGCAATTATGTCTTATCATCACCTAAGTTGGTTAAGATGTAGCTTAAGTCTGTACAATAGTTTTTAATAAACACAATCAATATGACAAAAATCATCTCTGGACACTGATTATGTCAATGCAGTTTGTAAATGAAATTATGATCGAATTTCATCTCCTTTGCTAGGCCGCCCTGTATGGATTGTTTTACATCAGCATTTCGTAAACTAATGCTGTCGTTTGCTTGTGCTATAGATATATAATGTTAAGAGGCCGTCTCTTTCAATTTAACTAGCCTGCCAAAACAGCCGTTTCACCTCGCTCCACGCCGCTTGGGACGTTCCGCCAGAAGAGACTTTCCTGGAGAAACGTCCCAAGCGGCGAGGATTGGCTGTTTTCAATTGATAGCCGGGCTAAAATAAATTAACTGGCATCAATTTCAGTTAGTGTTGCATTTCTTTTGCCCAAATATACATTATGGTTGTATCTAGAGGGGGCCGAAGGGTAGGCACCCCCTTCACTCTTTTTTTCTAAAATTACTTGTTCTATAGAATTTTAAGTTGAATTTTTCTTCAAAAAACTTAATTTATCACTATATGCACTCCGAGTGTTTTCTAAATTTTCTGGATCTTACATCCCTGGCATTGATCGTGTACGCAAACGGAACAAGAAGAGCAGTGAGCAGTTCATGGGGCGTTTCCACTTATGTCTCCATGAAACAACCTCTTTAATATTCTTAATTAATCTATAATGCCTCCTAGCTAGATTAGCTTTTTAGCTATTTTCCAGGTGGCTTGTACCATACATAAGTAGTAGTGTCTGTTTTTTAATGTCTTTTTTTTCGGTGTGTGGTATAAATAAAATTGCTGTCTTGTCTTGTCTAACAAATGTGTTCATTTTAGGAACATCTAATTATCTCTTCATTGTAAACGGCACACTGCTTGTTTTATTTGTTTGTTTGTTTGTTTTTCTTGTAGAATATTCACTTGATGAAAATACTCAAGTTCGTGATCAATCAGAAGCGAGTCACATTCAATCATTCAACGTTGTCGTAGAACCTGAGAGAGATTAGAAGGACGCCGAGTTCCTTTTGGAACATCTGGACAAAACTGAAGAGAATCCTATCCAGCTACCATTGGCACACTGAAAATAACAGCCATTCAATTTTGGCTTCTTTGCTGGACGACAAGTTCGTTTTTATACCTCACCAAGGTTCAGTAGAGGACGCGGCTTACTCGATCGTCTTGCTAATTTTTCTCAAAACAATGAAGCGAACTGACTCGGAACCAATTGCAAGCATGCTCGATCGAAAAAGGAAATCGTTGTATGATCATACTACTGTTTAATAACGCAGCAATTAGCGTAGCATAGTTCATAATAGCTTGAAATTTAATAAATTTGTGAAACAACAAGGTTTATAAAGCCTCGTTCATCTTTTGAACAATGCCCTCGCAAGGGGAATTATACTAAAGATGTTAAAACAGCCTTAAAACCAAACCTTGAGGAACACCAAATTGTGTCAGGTAAACAGGCCAATGAACTCACAGCCTGCGAACGGCAGACGTATTCCCGGTCCTCTTTTCTCTCCCTCCGAAACTAGAGCCGAAAAACCCGGATGCTCTCGCAGGCTAATGAACTCAGTGTCTCTCAAAGTACTGAAGCTGACAAAAGACAGCCTTATCGATTACTTTTGAGATGAAAGTCAGAATTTTACATTCGCCTCTGTCCCTCCACTTAAAGTCCTCATGATCAAGTTTGATTTTTAAAAAAAGGATAGGAGTATGACGGAACAATCTAGCAACTACAAATCCAGTGACAAATGGGCTGGAAGCCGAATCACTAGCCCGCAGGATTCGCTCGGCTGTACAAAGTTCATCAATTAATTCATTTATTACTGCATTACTGTTATGTATTGACCCATTATAATAGGCACACTCAAATTCTCCAAACTGATGTCCATAAATTTCCTTAAAAGATTAGCCAAGAAAATCTGATAAAAGATCAGAGCATTTCCCTTTAGGCGATCATTTTCCTAATTCTCATAACCATTTCCCTTGGTTGTGTATTGATTTTGTTGGGAGAAAATTGTTGTTGGTCAATTTTGGGACTTGAAACTTTAAACCACAGCTTTGTAAATCGTCTTTCTTACCTGCCGTCATTAAGGCGTTCTTTCAGGGTGAACTCTACTTTTCACATGTCACTAGCTATGAAAATATCTAAAGATTCCATTGCATCAAAAAAATCTTACAAGGGTCTTCGTCTTTATTAGAAGTCTCGATTACCAGCCTCTATTGGAGAAAATATACCCGTAGTCAATCACCGCGGAAATTGAGGGTACCTTACTGTAAGAATTTAACGATCATAACCGAATGCTAGTTTTCCAGTTTGAGAGTCACGTTCATTAAGTTAGTTAGTGTGTCTTATAAGTTGAAGCGATTTGGTATAAGTCAGAGGAAACAATTAAAACCCAATAATATGGTTGTTAAACCAGGCGCATTTTCTAAATTTCGGAGTCGGCAGTCAGTCGGAGGTAGTATTTGATTTTTATCATTTATATCATTATATCATGATATATTTCAAATTAACTTTATATTCGCAGATGTAATCAGTGCTGTTAACGTTGTTCATTTGTTTATGTTCACGACCTTTCACGGTATTCTTTGTCTGACGTCAACACGGGATGCATTATCAATAGAGGCTTCCGAGCCTCAGCCACGTCATTGAGCTACACAGCCTCAAAAGCACGACATTGAGTAACAAACAAAAATTCCAAGCGAGTTCAAATCAGACCATAGACTGTTCAAGCCTCTTATATTACTATCCTTATCACTGCCAACCGTAACTGCATGGGTTGCGAAGTGATGGTTTTTCGCAATAGCTCTGTAGGGAAATTAAACACGCAAAGTGACTGTCTGGTGCTAACATCAGTTAGAGATTTTAATACTATGAAAACGTGATCTGCATTTAATAATTACTCTTGCAGAACGTCCGGTACTGTCCACCAGACCTTGACTTCAAATTGAGACAAATCCATTTCCGAAACTATAAATGCATCTCCTAGAATAAACTCTTAGAATATTGATTAATCTCACAAGAGGGACGTGTAAAACGCGACGAATGATTCCGACCTAAACTAAACCACGATTGATACTCAAGATTGATGTTGATTAATAATAGGCCATTTGCACGATGTCGTCATGTTACTGCTACTACCAGAATCCTTTTCGATTTTCCTTTCAAATCAAAATTTTGTAATCCCAGCGATTAGATTTGAATGACAAAAGCCCTAATTTGCACAAGAAAGCAAACCCCTAAGGATTCTGATAGTCGTAAAAATGACGTCCTAGCTCGTACAAATATCCTATTGATACAAAAAAAACCACGTCACAAATAACACAAATGTTAATCTTAATCTCATTTTAAAAGCTTAATTTACTGTTAATAGGCTGGGAAATTAGAAAAGGATGTCTTTTACCATCTCATATCTATGAGAAAACAGTTAGATTAAAGTAAAGTTAACCAAATTCAAGTACCATGTCTTTCATGAGACCACACAAAAGACAAAGCATAGTCTATAAATAAAAATTGAAAATAGTAATTAAAAAAATGCTTAAAAGAGTTCTCGTGTCGACTTTATTCAAAAGACTAATCTACCAGTGTGAGCCAGTCGGTTTTCATAGTTTACCTGAAGAAACTGATTTATTGGTGATTTATGACCGTTTAATTAATATATAAATTACCTTAAAAATTATGATGAAAACTTTTTTTAAAAAAAAAATATTAGCAAATATGAGGAGCATGTAAACGTTGGAATTTCTGTTTATTAATGTCCACCTCCCCCTTAAACGTTTGTCCCTTTTAAAATCAGTCAATTTCCCACTTCTTCTGGGCCTCATGCAGCTGTCATTTCTCAGACGTTCAGCTGACAGTTTTAAAACGAGTACCATGCAGATGTCTGTTGAATGTTAACATTATTATAAGCGAGACCACAGGGGCACTTAACGAGAATATAGTTTAAAACCACGCAAACACAGCATTGTTTAACGTATTTTAGTATTTAAACGGTTGATATAGGCATATTTGTATCCCCTAAAAATTTTTAATGTGTTCGGATTTCCTAGCTAAAAGTCTTGTGATCCGAAAATTATAGGGATCAAAACTTACCTTTTCGAAAATTTCAGCCATAAAAAGGCTCCCGAAAATTCTAGGTGACCTTTCAGAGGGTAAAAATCCGTTAAAAATGGGCAATTATACCATTTTTTGGATCTTCCAAAATCCTAGGAGAGATAGGCAAGCAATAAATATTACAACAAATGTTCCGAAAATTCTAGATCTCAAATCGTCTTCCGAACAGATATTTTCCAAACATTGACGTGGGGTGCCCCAGAGACCAGCCTTAATTGAGAAGGGCCGCGGTAAACTCGATTTCAAGGAGCTTACAACAAAGACTTTTTTGAGTGACGAACGTTAACAGGAAGTGGAAGTTAGATTAACGCTAGCCTAGTATGATTGACCAACCTCTCACTCCAAGTTCAGAAGCTCTTTCATATGATAATAGGCGAGACATAAATAGTCTAAAAAAAGCCGAAACTCGCGTCACTTCCACTTAATTTAAAACACCAGCCTTTCAAGGTCAGTTCAGTCACGTTGCACTCAAACAGAGGGCTACATTGGTGAGTCAGATTCTTAAATTTTAACTGATTTTTTGAACTTGACTTTAACAGTTTATTTGAATCACTTTCAATTGACAATGTTACTTTAAAAACGAGGTTTGTAGTGCGGAACCTCCAGGAAGGCAGATATAATCCAACCGCCCTTCATTTAAACTTAGTTCTCAGTCTGACACCGAGCCAAAAATTTATTTTAATTTGTTTCTGATATTTGGAAAACTTAAAAATCATTTTTATCATTCTTGAACTCTTTTTTTGAAATAGTTGCTAGAACGAGCCATTAAAGATCTTTTAAAACAGGTTTCAAGAAACATTCTTCAACTATTAAAAAAACTTCAGATGGCTGTTTTAACAAATCCGAATCACATGTGTTGATGAAAAGACATAAACCCACACAAAGTTAAATCTTAAAATAAGCAATAGTGTTTCAGGGTTGTTACACGCTCAATTGACGAATATTTACTAGTAAATCTGACTTCAGCTCAACAACGTAAATATCAGCCACCCAATCAAGTACGAAAAAATTTTATAAGTGGCTAGGTTTTCTTAGTTATAACATACCAGGACGTCACCGTTGTGCATACCGGAGAAACTCAATCATCAAACGTTGTGGCAAGTTTCCATTCTATATCAATTATGTCCTAAAGATGCTATTTGTTCTTATATCATATGGATATTTCGTATCGAATTGCGACTAGAGTCACTATGGTTTATTATTAACGAGTCCTCGGTACGCGCTCGGTACTTTCACTCTAACGTGATCTTTTTACCGATGTCACAAAAATTATTGCAATTTTAATACTTTTTGGCACTGAAACAAAAACACTTCTTCATAGGTCGATTTATCAAACTTCATTTAGTGAAATGTCAAGTTTTATAAAAATCAGACTGACCCGAAAATATTAAACCGCAAAATGCTTGCTGCCTACCATCCAGGATTTCTTTGTTAAATTAATTCAGTCCTCATTTGCTGGGCATTTTTGAGGCCGATTTTTGCATTGAAATACTTTGGCGGTTAAATAATTTCAGCCTGTATAGAAAGTGTTATATATTACAATGGATTATTACGCTTGCTCAACTTCCGCCTGAACATGATGAACTTCATATTCATATCTATTTGTCCTTTGTTTGGTTTTGGTTAAACACCATCGATCGAAGGTCCTCAGTTTACAGAGTCAGCTACCCCTTGCGGTACTCTTATGTACTGGAAAAAAATTCATTTATATGTTGATATTTTACAGTTGAATTCAGCGATGGAGAACCATCAAAAATCCAAGTTAAACATCAAACAGCGCTTTTCCTATGGCCTTGGGAACATTCTCAACGAAATTCTCCTTTATATGTACCTTTCTTTTTCCATCATATTTTTGATGCAAGTGATTGGTTTATCGGCATCCCAAGCCGGATTGGCTATGCTTATTGGACAAATAACTGACGCCTTTACCTCTCCAATAACTGGTTACTTGGGCGACCATGTGCAAATTCCATATATTTCCAAAAAGCTGGGTCAAAGGAAGTCGTGGCACTTAGTGGGAACGGTTATGATGGCCGGTGGACTTCCTCTTCTGTTCAATCGGTGTTTGGTATGCAACGATTATCAGGGTGTCAGTTGGTTGCAACCTTTTTACTATTATTGCATCATGGTTATTATCAATGCGGCATGCAACATTCTGGAGATCAATCATCTTTCAATCACCTTCACTGCAGCTGGGACAGTGCAAGAAGGCGCAGCGTTAACTGCTATAAGGTTACAGCAATAACACTATTTTCTTTTGTTCACAATTTCTTGAATCTGATTTTTTGGATTCTGTTCTCTGACTGAATGTCACCTCACCGGTGGTTATGAGTGTATATTGAAAATCAACGCAGCTAAAACTGAAGGGTGCACATTTTTGCCGCAGCTTTTTTTAATTTTTCAAATCTGTTTTTCTTTTTCGCTTTGAATCTCAAATGGCACCTGATGTGACAGGCTACCATAACGTCAGTGAATAAGTTCGGTTCAAGATATTTAATCCCAGACGTGGTACATAGGAATAAAGATACCCGAATTTATGCCGCAAGAGTCGACCCCTTTTTTTTTTTTTTTTTTTTTTTTCTGATATAGGACAGTGCTTAGTTTCGTTAGTGGAATATACGTTTATGTGGTTGCCTGGGGACTGCTTGGTCAGGATGGCGGAGACGATCTGGGGCCGGAAAATGTAACACAGTTTGCGGTAAGTATACCTAAATAAAGTGACAATATGGAAACTACATAAATGAACAAAGCAATCTAATTGATTGGATTTATGATGATGATGATGATGATGATGATGATGATGATGAGATTGAATTCATAATACCATATTGCTCCCTCGCCCAACCAAACACACGTTTTTTATGGCGCCTGCATGCTTTTTGACATCTACCTAGTGGAGCAGGTGTAATTCATTTTTAAAAAAACCTAAAAACGTTTTCCTAGAGTATTCTTGGGTATGTATCAGCAATAAAAGTTTAAATTGAAATAACACTATATTTAATCGTATTTAAATTATTTTCAAATGTTTATATTTCTTTCCCTTTCGACGCAGCATCTTGTATGGATTGTCACTGGTACAGGAGTAGTCTTTGCAGTCATTTTTTACATTGGAACAGAGGAACCAGCCGTACGCCCTCTAAGAAAGATCAGCACACTCATGGATCCAGTGGTATGAAGCAATATAAGATATCGATTGCGCTGTCCCCGACGACTAGCCATCTTTCTTAGGCCATGAACGATTCGCAACCACGATTTTTATCCCTATTGACTTAGAGCCCATTCGAGCTCCAGGAATAATTGTTAAATACCTAGTGCTGTTGCGGTTTGTAGTAATCATCGCACTTTATATTACCTGTAACTAAGTCCAATCACATGTCACAATTCGCCACAAAGCCGTCTAGCACTTGGTAATAAAAAAATGTCCACTTTGACACCTCTCCCCAGGATGCCCATCTCTCTTTGTTAGAAAATATCACCGTACCTTATAGACTTAAAAATTCTACCAATTAATCAAATACTTACTCTTGCATGTCGGCAAGTGTAAATATCTACGTTTTTGTCACGTCGGCCATGAATTGTCTCAAGAAGAGTTTCACAGTGATGGCAATTTTGTGACATGAATAAATCGTTTTTATCTTTGGCTAGAACGGTGAAGGATTATTTCAGGCTAGCCAGTCTGTTTATTCAATGGTTTTCGAACAAGTTGATGGTGAGTTGAATAAAATGGATTACTCTACCTTTAGTTCCAATCTTTCTGCTTTACTTTCACCACGCAGTGTACGTTGAGACATGAGCAACGTTAATATTAGTATATTGAGGTCTAATTTGTCGTTAAAAGGAGACTTTGTCAATGTAACGATACCTAAGATGGAGCTCAAACTCGTACATCAGCAGGGCCAATTTGTTAAAACTTTTACAAGGTATAATGTAATTTACAAGTGTTGCTATTGTTTTCATACTATCAAACAATAGCTACCCTTGTAAATTACTTTAATTGCTTACAATATGATCATTGTTACGCGTCACAAGTAACAACCGAGTAAGGGTCTGGGCTCTTTAGTTTCTTACGTGCAGATGCTGTGAAAGCGGCGAAAACGCTCTTCCCATAAACCTGCCTTCTCGATCAATTCCTTGCGACAAGAAGTAGACGATAAAGTCAACCAAGAAAGAATAGCTCCCATTATGGGCTCATGATCTGGAGGGATCCTGAAAAGAAAAAGATATCCAAAAAAATATTTCTTTAACATCACGGGCCAACATCCGGTAATATTGGAAGGTAATATCAAGGAAAGAGAGGGGATGTCGTTTTACCTCTTTCAGTTAAAAGGCACTCTGTACTTGAACACGATCTCTTTGTCGAAAAGCTCAATATCAGTAATAAGACGAAAGTTACTGCAGTTCCTTTTAATAAGGTATAGAAAAAATTGAATTTTTTAAAAATATTTCTTTTAAGATGCCAAGAGGAAAACTTCGACCATAGTCCACTCCCTTGTTGACATTTTTATGTCTTCGGTGGAAAACACGGAAGTTGTCGATCATAAAGCAACAACTGCTACACCAGCGTCTAAAAAGATAAGTGTGGTACAACGATTTGTGGAAGCTCTCTTTTCTAACGGCGATGGAAACAGTCATGAAGATTCAGAAGACAAACTTCAAATTTCTGAAGTCGCATCAGGGGCGTCAAGTAATCAAGAAAAACCCGGAAGCGGTATGTAAAATGGTATTTGCGTTACTGTTTTTACATTATCTATGGCGGGGGATAGTGTTTCTGGCTTTAAATGTAAATATTTATGATGTTTGATGGATGCATCATCAACATTAGTTGAATTAACCTTAACAAACGTCATTTCAAAAGGAAACCCCGGTTTAGTGGTGATTAAAACCGTGTCAGCGGTCGCACTATGATATTCTATTTAACTATCATAAAGTGCAACTCAAGTAATCCTAGTGAGATTTAGAAAACATTTAGGCAAAATTTACAAGGGTAAGAATCCTCAGGCGTTATGGTAGTTCAAGCGAAATGACGCTATTGTACGAATGTCATTTCTCCTGTAGATCTGATAACCCACGTAGCAAGACTGGACCAGGATCGCAAAAAGAGTCTCGTCTTTCGCTTAGTAGATGCGCTTCTTAATAAAGAGAGTCAAAGACAACCAGAAGCGACTAGCATTGTGGCCGAAGAAGGGCAAGTGGATCTTGAAAAGGAAAGTAACAAGCAGAATACGAACATTTTTGAAGACGCGACAGATTGTACTGTATGGTAAGCGTTAATTTCTTGAGTTGAACACCCGCTTTTTTCAAGTACCCACGTGACAGTTCCAGAGTACAAAAGCAAGACCCTATTCTTAGGCTTCAAAGTGGTTACAACGACCTGTCCGCACAAGTTTTCTGTCACTTCCGTGGCAATCCACTGCTATGGATACCCGCATTTCTCCCGGCTACGCTAACGTTTTAAAATGACGTCTGACAGGGCAAATACGCTGATACCCAGGAACTAGTATCCAGACACCAAGAGTGATTACATAGCATAAGGTGACGTGCATAAAGTGGCAGTTGTTATGAAAGGTTGAGGGCTTTAAAATCAGTTCCCATCCACAGCCTCATCACCGACTGCACCTCTTAGAGTTTTGTAAATCGCAATCTTGCACCTGAAAGAGTCTTGTATCGCGACGTATTTTATTTCATTTTATTTTTTAGTGTTCCCAGTGAGTTAATCTTTGCTCATATTACTGACAGGAACGGAACGAAAAATACAGAAATAATGGAGGGAAATGAAGATCATAATATGAAAACAAGAGAAGATGATTTCAATGGTGCTGACAGAGGATATAGCCGGCGTCGGAGAAGAGGCATGTCTTTGGCTCCAGAGGAAGCCTGCAAGCTTGGAATACACAACCTTGGTTACCAAAATGAAACCTGTGGGCTGGAGATGAGAACAATAAACGAAGAAGAGGCCATTGAGCCTGTCGGTGAATGCGATGCAATTATCCATGGTTTCGAAAAACAAATGTCACCTTTTACAGAAACAAAACCGGGTAAAAAAGTGAGTTTCTCTGTTCCAGAAAGGAATGAAGTCTGTAATTCAGGAATTTATCCTCTTCAGGATTTAGACATGACAGAATTTTCAGACAAAGAGACGCAAAGAAAACTGAGCTTATCTGAGCTGGAAGAGAACGGATCTGTGAAAAAAGAGACGGGAGATGAATCCGATGATAAATCGTGTAAATCTGCGATTACTGGAGGATCTGAAAAGAGGAAACCAAAGACGACGAGGGATTGGTTGAAGACTCCTGGTGTTTACAAGGTTGGCATCTCTTAATGTGATCTATGGCATTTTTGTTCATTTTAATTTCTCTTTAAGTCTTATCGGTATATCCCCTTATGAAATGACTTGCCTTTAAAGCAGCTGCAAGATTGACGTGTGAGAATCACATCATTTGTAAATTTACCGAGTCAATTATATATACCGAAAGGCTAACCTTTGCCAACACCTTAAGATACCTGAATAGCGTACCGTTTAACAATATTGGTTAAGTCTCTTGTCAGTTTAGAACCTTATGCAGTTCACACAAACAAGTAAACAACAAATTTCATTTTTCTGTCAAAAATGCAATCACTCAATACATTAATTGGACCCCAAGAAGGCTGTAAGGTATTAGCCCTGTTTAAAACAAAATCGTACTAAAAAATAAAGTCATTGACAAATTTATCTAGTTTATTTCATTAATTAGGTCGCCGTTATCGTCACGTGTTCTCGCCTTGTGCAGGATGCGGTTTATGCATATTTGCCGTTGTACTTGACAGAAAGACTGGGCTTTGGGAAGGTAAGACGAATAATCTTGCACCCTTTTTGCCAATGTGTTAAAAAGTATCTTCCATCAATGGCTCTACGATCATCACACCGTTCGCTAATTTATACACCCCAGCCTTAAAATCTAAACTAACATCGACGGAGGACGGCGTTCTCCACCACAAGTTCTGGAAAACCGTCCAAGAATTGTGTGACAAAATTGATGCAGAAAACGTTGCTGCATTTAAAACAAAACTTAAAACATTTTATTTAGCAAATATTTTCATTAGCCTTTATTCTTAACATTATTTTTCGAAGTATTTTAACTTTGTTATATACAAAACTGCCTGTTATATCACTGTCGGCTAGGACTAAAGATCTTTTTATTTATTCTATTTTTATTCATGTAAAGCCCATTGAAGTCAGAAATGCGCTTAAAGACAACAGTACCTCTGTGATAGACTGAATGTTTCAATGTGATAGCATCCACACCGCTTTTACATAAAGGGGTCATTAACCCTTAAATTTGTTCACTGTCAGAGAGCTTGATGGAGTTTTGTAAGGTGACTCTTACTTTTGAGTCTGTGGACGAAATCCTGTGATGTGACCATTCAAATGAAAGATCTCTGCCTGCACTTTCACATAAGTCTATTTGTTTGTCAAAATTTCACAAAATGAAATTTGAACATTTGGTCGAATTTCCTTTTTTGCTAAATTTGGCAGTGAATTAGGGTTAATTTTCTTCTCATTTCATTTTACTTTGAGCTTTTTGTCGATTCTTTTGCAGCAATCCATTGCCTATTTTCCCATTGTTCTTCTTGTTAGCGGAGCAATAGGCAGCACTATTTCAAATAAACTTAACTCCAAACTGGGAAACATGGTAAGCGGCTTTTTCCTCTTTTCAATTTTTCTATACATGTAACAAGTTAAATAGTTCAACTGATTTTAAATTAAAAATAAGGGAGTAACAAAATATTTGCAACTTGCACTGCTAAGCGAGACGATCTCCTTACCGGCTTTTATCGGAACTCCCGCTGAGCAAACCCAGCCGCTCGCTCCTGACTTTGATCTGTATTTGATATCTTTCCTCAGGGAACTTACCTCATTGGATCTCTTCTCGTGATTGGTGCATCTGTATACTATTATTTCCAAACCACTGACTTAAAACTGTTCACATATGCGCCCGTAATCCTAACAGGCAGCGGCATGTCCATCATGTACGTCATGGCTCTGACGTTCGCCGCAGAACTCGTCAAAGCAGACAAGGTGCGCCTACGTAAGCATTGTATGGAAATAGAGTAATGACCGTAATTTAAGACAAAGCTATTTGATTTTACAAAATTTAACCTAAGTACTTTGGTCAAGATAATTGAGTTACCACCCGGCCTCTGACTGTTTAAAAAACTGAGATACTAAAGAAATTCTGATTGGTCAAAATAACTGGAAAACCAACGCGCGTTCTAAGTGGTCGAAATAACTGACAGAGAACAAGCGCTCTTATTGGTCAAAATAACTTAAAGTCACATGCCTATTGACTGGTCAAAATAACTGAGACGCTACAGGTGTCCCCACCTGGTTAACAAACTGATGAAAATACTTAGCTCGTTCTGATTGGATTAAAAACAATTGTATAATATAAGAGCCTTGTAGCCAAAATCCAACTGTATAAGTTCTTTTAGCTATAGTCACTCTCTTAAAATAAAACGTCAAGACATAAAGGGAAAATCTATGCAGACCCGTTTCCAACTTGCTTTCGTAAATAGATTTCCGGTTAACCGGAATACGCATGAAAGACCGCGGAAATGGACTCGTCTCCCTTTAACTTAGACTTTATATTAGAGTGCCACAATTAACTGATAAAGAGTCCACTATGATCGAACTATCAGATCAAGAGATCAGGCGCGGCTATTTATAAACACAGCCATCTCCTAAACTTTCAACATATAAAGCTACCAGCAGGTTAAACGTATATGCGTTTTTTTTTAAGTATCTGAAATAGTTGTGCTGTCTTTTACAGGAAACTAGTGGTTCGGCATTCGCCATCATTATTTTTCTAGGGAGAATATCCAGCGGTGGTTTGCTGATGGCCATACAAGAGTTTTATCCAGAAAACGGGTGAGATTATTAGTGGATCTCCTACCTTAATTTGAAAAATCCATATTTTTGTGGTCGGGTGAAAAATTTAATTTAATTAAGTGCCGATTTCTAGGAACGTTTGTTCTCGGCTGGATCTTTACTGTTTTCTCTGTTTTGATGCCAGGAAAGGCTGCAGATTGCCATGGTTACGGGTGGCTAGAATATACATGATTTGGGTGATTAAAATGTCCCGCTACCTTGATGCGTCTTTGTCATTTCTGAGGCATATACTAAAAGCTGCCCCTTTTTATTCCTAGTTCGTCAAGCCAAACGCGCGCAAGAAAAAATGCCTGGAGGGCGATTTTTAGTTATTTATAATTATTTTATTTTATTATAGCTCTACGTCCAATTTGAGTGAAAGCGACTACGTGCATCATGTATTTTCTGTAGTTCCCGCTCTATTGGCGCTTGCTGGCTCGCTGATGGTTTTATTCTTCCGTCCACCGTCATGTCGTACAAAAAGAGGTTGGTACGGTTTCAAGCTTTCCATGCAATTATGTCTTATCACCAGCTAAGTTGGTTAAGATGTAGCTTCTGTACAATAATTTTTAATAAACACAATCAATATGACAAAAATCATCTCTGGACACTGATTATGTCAATGCAGTTTGTAAATGAAATTGTGATCGAATTTCATCTCCTTTGCTAGACCACCCTGTATGGATTGTTTTACATCAGCCTTTCGTAAACTAATGCTGTCGTTTGCTTGTGCTATAGATATATAATGTTAAGAGGCCGTTTCTTTCAATTTAACTAGCCTGCCAAAACAGCCGTTTCACCTCGCTCCACACCACTTGGGACGTTTCGCCAGAAGAGACTCTCCTGGAGAAACGTCCCAAGCGGCGAGGATTGGCTGTTTTTAATTGGTAGCCGGGCTAAAATAAATTAACAGGCATCAATTTCAGTTAGTGTTGCATTTCTTTTGCCCAAATATACATTATGGTTGTATCTAGAGGGGGCCGAAGGGTAGGCACCCCCTTCACTCTTTTTTTCTAAAATTACTTGTTCTATATAATTTTAAGTTGAACTTTTCTTCAAAAAACTTAATTTATCACTATGCACTCAGACTTTTTTCTAAATTTTCTGGATCTTACATCACTGGCATTGATCGTGTACGGAAACGGAACAAGAGGAGCAGTGACCAGTTCGTACGTGGCGTTTAAATTTCCATTTATGTCTCTATGAAACAACCTCAGTCTTTCATATTCTTAGTTAATCTATAATGCCTCCTGGCTAGATTAGCTTTTTAGCTATTTTCCAGGTGGCTTGTACCTTACATAAGTAGTAGTGTCTGTTTTTTGTTTTTTTCGGTGTGTGGTATAAATAAAATTGCTGTCTTGTCTTGTCTAACAAACGCGTTGTTCATTTTAGGAACATCAAATTATCTATTCATTGTAAACGGCACCCTGCTTGTTTTATTTGCTTGTTTGTTTGTTTGTTTTTCTTGTAGAATATTCACTTGATGAAAACTCTCAAGTTCGTGATCAATCAGGAGCGAGTCACGTTCAATCATTCAACGTTGTCGTAGAACCTGAGAGAGATTAGAGGGACGCCGAGTTCCTTTTGGAATATCTGGACAAAACTGAAGAGAATCCTATCCAGCCATTCAATTTTGGCTTCTTCACTGGACGACAAGTTCGTTTTTATACCTCACCAAGGTTCAGTAGAGGACGCGGCTTACTCGATCGTCTTGCCAGTTTTTCTTAAAACAATGAACTGACTCGGAACCAATTGCAAGGAAGCTTGATCGAAAAAGGAAATCGTTATATGATCATATTACTGTTTAATAACGCAGAAATTAGCGTAGCGTTGTTCATAATAGCTTGAAATTTAATAAATTTGTGAAACAACAAGGTTTATAAAGCCTCGTTCATCTTTTGAACACTACCCTCCCAAGGGGAATTATACTAAAGATGTTAAAACAGCCCTAGAACCGAACCTTGAGGAACACCAAATTGTGTCAGGCAAACCGTCCAGTGAACTCATAGCCTGCGAATCCGCAGACGTATTCCCGGTCGTCGTTTTTCTCCCTCCGAAACTAGAGCCGAAAAACCCGGATGCTCTCACAGGCTAATGAGCTCAGTCTCTCAAAGTACTCAAGCTGACAAAAAACAGCCTCATCGATTACTTTTGAGATGAAAGTCAGAATTTTGCCTCTGTCCCTCCACTTAAAGTCCTACTGATCAAGTTTGAACGGAACAATCTAGCTATTACAAATCTAGTGACAAATGGGCTGGAAGCCGAATCACTAGCCCGCAGGATTCGCTCGGCTGTAAAAAGTTCATCAATTAATTCATCAAATACTGCATTACTGTTATGTATTGACCCATTATAACAGGCACAGTACAAATTCTCCAAACTGATGTCCATAAATTTCCTTAAAAGATTAGCTAAGAAAAATATGATAAAAGATCAGAGCATTTCCCTTAAGGCGATCATTTTTCTAATTGTCATAACCATTTCCCTTGGTTGTGTATTGATTTTGTTGGGAGAAAATTGTTGTTGGTCAAGTTTGGGACTTGAAACTTTAAACCACAGCTTTGTAAATTCTCTTTCTTACCTGCCGTCATTAAGGCGTCCTTTATGTGAACTCTATTTTTCACACCCCAGAAGCTATGAAAATATTCAAAGATTCCCTTGCATCAAAGAAATCTTACAAGGGTCGTCGTCTTTATTATTATAAGGCTCGATTACCAGCCTCTGTTGGATAAAATATACCCGTACTCAGTCATCGCGGAAATTGAGGCAACCTTACTGTAAAAATCTAAGGATCATAACCGAGTGCTAGTTTTCCAGTTTCAGAGTCACGTTTATTACGTTAGTTAGTATGTCTTATAAGTTGAAGCGATTTGGTATAAGTTAGAGGAAACAATTAAAACCCGATAATATGGTTGTAATAAACCAGGCGCATTATCTAAATTTCGGAGTCGGAAGGCAGTCGGAGGTATAGTATTTAATTTTTATCATTCATATCATGATATCATGCAATATTTCAAATTAACTTTACATTCGCAGATGTAAAAACAGTGCTTTTAACGTTGTTTATTTGTTTATTTTTAGGTTTTATTTCTTCATATTTTGGTGTTCACGGTATTCTTTCTTTGACGACAACCCGGGATGTATGATCAATAGAGACATTCGTATGACTTCCAAGCCTCAAGTATACGGCCGTTTCCCGCTCGCCCTCTGCCGTTTGGCGTTTTATCGGAAAAGGCAGAGATTACAACATGACGATTTTCTCAAGCTGTTTTTGAAATACTTCGGTAGAAAGTTTCCCAGATTAAAACGGATTGTAACTATTATTCTTTGTTTAGACATCTTAGGAGAAGGTTTACGTATAAATTAGAATATCATTTGATAAGACTTGACCACAAAATCACTTAGCGTGACTCTTGCAAGAATTATGCAAAAAAACACCCTAAAAAAACACAAAATAAATTAAAGAACATTTAACTAAGGGAAAGCACGTACGAATTGAAGTTTCCCTTTGCTCTATGCCGCGATCCTAAATCCCCCTAGTATTTCGTGTTCTTATCACATATGAGTGACCGACTGAATCGGAAGGCCTAATGTATAGGTCAAGCAATTAGCCATGGGCACCCAACGTCAATTTTCGGAAAATACTTGTTCAGAAGACGATTTGAGATCTAGAATTTTCGGAACATTTGGTGTAAAATTCCTTGCTTGCCCGCCTCTCCTAGGATTTTCGAACACGTAAAAAAATGGTATAATTGCCCATTTTTAACGGATTTTTAAGCTAAAAAGGTCACCTAGAATTTACGGGCCCGGACTTTTTTCTGGCTGAAATTTTCGAAAAGGCAAGTTTTGATCCCTATAATTTTCGGATCACTTGACTTTCAGCTAGGAAATCCAAACAGATGGGAAATGTTTAGGGGATAAAAATATGCCTTTATCTACCGTTTAAATACTAAAATACGTTCAACAATGCAGCTATGTTTAAGTGGTTTTGAATTATATTCTCGTTGGGTGCCCCTGATTAGCTTGCCTTTGCAAAGCTTCGTTTTCAGTGAAAAGGAAAGAATCAAAGAGACTTGGACAGCCTATGCCGAAGATCTGATTTAAGATAGCGTAAACGTGATTCTAAATCTCTCTAATTACAGTTTAAATTCATGAACCATGTTTAGATCTTATTACTTCGGCGGAGCGCGAAGTAAAGGATTCGCGACGCTCAGGAATGTATCAAAGTTGCAATTTTTTGACAAGATTGGGCAAGCAAAGTTTGTAGGTTTTCGGCTCTATTCGGCTATTTGACGAAGTGAGAGCCGAATTAGTTCGAGATATCTCGAGATCACTTCGATTTCTTTGATTTATTCTTTAACTTTTTCGAGGAAGAAAGAATTATTATTTTGGTTTTCCCGGGGTTTGAACCGACTCACCTGTGTGACCCGTCAGATAAGAGGAGACTTTAAGTTGAGGGATTAGCCGATTGCGCTACTGCGACCCAGGGTAGTTTGGGATAGGAAAAATAGTTATGAAATGATGCACTAGTTTCGGGACAAGATTGAGCGTGCAAGTTCGTGACTTTTCGGCTGGTTTCAACTATTTCACGAAATGAGATCGGACTACTTCGTGATATCTTGAGATCATTTCGAGTTTAGTCTTTAATTACTGGAGGAATAAATAGAGGATATTTCGTGGCCGCGCAGAGACACGAAATTTCTCTTCGAGTGTTGAAAAACATTTCACGAGTGAGCCCTCCTTTCGAACTGTTTTATGATGAATTTAAAGTTACAAAATGCTGCACAAAGACATTTTGTCTTTGTTGAGTGTTACATAGTAAAATTGCTTTCATGCGTTGCGTGACTTTCTCGAACGTTCTTTACGTTTTTGGATTAGCCATGAATAATTAATTAGGCCATGTTTACATTTCAGCATGAGTCAGCAGATTTGCATCAGTTACTGAAATCATAAAATATGTCGAAAAGCTACTACTATTCGCCTGTTTAGTATTTTCTAGAACCTTATGTCAAAAGGTATACAGGTTCCAAGCGAGTTCTTTTGACGAACTAAGTTTTTTCCCACGAGCTGGACTGCTGTGTTTAGTCAAGTGTGACGAAGGTCGATTATTCGGGTTCTGTGTGTTTACAAGTTCCCGGAAGCCGTAAGATATCTGTGTTTACAAGTTCCCGGAAGTCGTAAGATATCTGTGTTTACAAGTTCCCGGAAGCCGTAAGATATCTGAAGTTCAAGTGAGAGTTTGTTATTATTGGTAGAGGCTGTTTAGTTTTACTCAAAGTTCAAGTCAAGTGAGTGTTGGCGGATGCTGTGTTTTAAAGCTCTGTAAAGGCTATGTTCCTTTGGTGTTAAACTTCCTTGTGTTAATCCGACATCCCTGCGTGCTGATAGTCAGTGAATAATTATCCTCAAAACATTCGAACTCGTGACTTTGAGTTTTAGCCAATTCCATGCTCAACGTAATTGACTCCTTACCCATGCCTTACATATCTTTAATCAGTACATGAGACTGCTATGCTGTTTTTGACGCCTGAAGTGACTAAGAAAAATAGAGAATTGTTTTTAGAAGGATTTGTATGGAGTCCTCGGAGCATAACTGGCCTAATATCGCGGAGACAATTTGTCCTGATATGCTAGTTTTTGGCAAGTAGGCCTCTTGGATGTTGCTCTTTTCAGAATATCCTGACAAATCCCATAATTTCACATCTTACTCTTTCCATATTTGATTTCTTACTATTCCTCCACATTTACAATTAATTAGTTCCACAACCACGACGCCGAAGTGTACGCTAGCTCCGTAGCGTCTTGTTTGCTCATATTTTAGTGCCGGACCACGGCTCTCTTATCATGACGTCAGCACCGGACGCATGATCAATAGAAGCCTCACGTTTAATTCGACCCTTCGATGTCTAGAAGGTGTCTATAAATAAAGAAGTTTTCTGATTGGCTTCAGAGGGATAAAATTCAAAGGGCCAGTTATTTAAACGAAGTTTAGCTAGTGTTTAACAAAACCGCGTTCTACGCCACTGGCATTTTCAGTTTGCCGAACGCATTAATGTAAGCACCAGCTATCGTGAACAATTTCATGAAAGCACATGTCGTAGACTAGAAAAGCATTAATGTCTTGTCAAAATAACCCACTAAGGAAGAGATCTGGACGTCCAAAGATTTCCTAAACCGCAGTCTAAGTTAGACTTCGTTTAAATAACCGACCCAAAGTGTTTAGCTATAACCGTCTGTTTAGACTCGGGTTTCGCTGAAAAACAGGCCTCTCAAGACCTCTCAAAGGTGAGTCAGGTAGCCATTTTTTTTGGCTATGAATATTTCTTGTTTAAATGACCAACAAAAAATGCTAAGTTTGCAATATTATTATTCCTTAAAGATCAGAGTGGGTAGAAATACCGGGCTTAACTAATACCCTCCGGCCTTAAAGATATTAGTCGCAAATTTCTGTCAGACAATCACACCCTTTCTTCATCGGTTTAGCCTGCGAATAGGCTTACTTGTGCGTGTTTGGGGAAAGTTTTGATTAAGCGCTAGAAGAAATGCTTGCTTCATTTCCTTGCATTGAAAACAGAAAAAATACGTTTGCGCGAAGTCCACAACAATTAATAGGTGCAAGGATGTATTTAATCCAGGGACAATTAATTCTATTAAATTTGAAATTCCTGTCGCTAACCCAACTCAATTGGCCCCTAAGAGAAGGGTTAAAATAAAAACAGTTGTTTGAACCGTTTTCAGAAACTTTTCAATGTTTCTTTTTCGTAAAAAAAAAGCTTGATTACACATGAGTCTTATTCTATATCTCGAGTGTCAGCCGAATCGTAAACTTCGCGAGTCAATCGGTTGACAATCGATCGACAGGTGACCGTAGTA